TATTCTCTCATCATCATTTGAAAATATTTATTAAAAAATATCATTACCAATCAAATTAAACAAAACAAATATTTAAATATCTTTTTCTTATTTCATTCATAGAGAAAATATTCACTTTAAAATATTTATATACAAAGAAAACCTTACGTAGTGATTAGACTTATTTGGATCTTGTTCACAGTAACAACTGTTCATTTATCGCTTTCTTTTTCATACACAATATCATAGAAATAACTCGGCTAAATATAACACATTATCAAGTTTTTCGAGATTATTTTCTAATTGAGAACATCACAATTTGATCTTAATTGGAAAGATTAAATTAAATTAAATTGAAAAAATGTCATAAATTATTTTGAGAGAGAGAGAGAGAGAGACAGATGAAAATGAAAAAAAGCGAAGGTAAGGTTCAATGATTAACATACTTGAATTTTGGCAACACGTTACTTCTAAATACTGTATAATAATACTCAGTTGAGTACTTGATCAATATTTTCAACTAGCAATTTCCTAAACACACGTAACCACTGAAGTATTTAAAAATACTTGAAGTATCTTATAAATCCTCTGAGATATTAATAAGAAGATATTTTTTTAAATATTTTCAATTGATTACATTGACATGGGATTATTATTCTATGATGAGAATTATCATTGAAGAAATTATTTTTATCAAAATCTAAATACAAAACTTGTGAAAAAACTTAATTTGTTTTCAAATTTCTTTTATTCTTAGAAATATTTATTTAAATCATTTTCAAGATAAATATATTAGAAATTAAAAAGAAAATTGTTCAATCAATAATCTTAGTAATATTTCTCTCTCTTCAATAGATAATAAAGAAATCATTGAAAAACTATTAAATTCTACTCTTATGAAAATCAAACATTAATATTTTCATAGAATTAAAATGAATAAAGTCAAGCAAATATATATTGATGATTTGTTATCATAAATATGTTATTTTAGAAAAACTAAAAAGTGTAAACGTATATTTTCTTATTTAAATAATAAAAAGATGTAAAAATAAAAAAAACGAAAAAGATATTATTTAGATAAGAGTGAAAACAATGTAAATATTGAAAATAAAGATATTTGAAGTCTAAACACGTGTTTCTATCATAAATATTTATTTCTATTAGAAAGATTTTCTTAACTGACTTTTTCTTTTGGAAATATTTGAATATGAAATTAAAAATGAGATAATTCATTCCGATTTTATTTGATTGATCATTTGGAAAATGTTTAAAATAGATTGTAAATCTTGTTATTTTTAGAAAAAGAAAATGAAATTTGGTGAATATTTATGTAAGAATTTAACATCAGAATGGTCATCTCAATATATTCAATATGAAGATATGAAAGAAATACTTTATGAATTTCAAAGTAAAGCTCCATTAATCAATGAAATTAATCAAAATTTAATTCGTCAACAATATTTTGTTGATGTTGATCAAGAATTTTTTCAAGTAAAAATAAATATAAATTTACATTGAAAAAAGAATTATTTATTCATTTTTTAGTTTTGTGAAAAAGAATTAACAAAAATCAATACTTTCTTTGCAGAAAAATTAGCTGAGTAAGTTTTTATTTATTCTTTTCAAAATAAATATTAGAAGGAAACAAAGATCTAGAACAAAAAAGGTCCAATAGACAGAATAGATTGAAAATTAAAAAGTTTTTCATTAAGAAATTCTATTCGATTTTTTCCAAAAAAAACATTTCTCATTGAAATCTAAATAAATTTTTTATTTGTAGATCATTATTAAGATTTGATTTTCTTAAAAATGAATTTGAATATATTGAAGGAAATGGTGAAGATCGTCATTTAACAGTAATTAATAAATTATATAAAAGTGATCAATCAGATTTAAATTTGTCAAATGAAAATAAAATGAAATTACGAGAGTCAATATCAAAAATTCGTTTAAAACGATTTCAAAAACATGAACATATTAAATTAAATGATTTCAAATTAGGTTTAAGTGAATTTTATTTAATGTTAATTATTTTAAAAAATTATCAAACACTTAATTTCAATGGATTTTGTAAAATATTAAAAAAACATGATAAATTATTTGAAACAAATCGTGGTTATCAATGGAGGTAATAAAAAATTCGTTTTTATTTATTTATTTATTTATTTCAACAATAAAATATGTTTTTATGTTGAAATTAGAATGTTATATATTGATAGTGCTTCATTTTATAAATCAATTCGAGTTGATGAATTAATAAATGAAGTTGAAAATTTTTATACAAATAAATTAGCAAATGGAAATAGAAGTCGTGCAATGGAACGTCTTCGTGTTCCACCATTAGAAGAAAAACATTCATCTATAGTTACTTTTCGTTTAGGAATCTATCTTGGTATGATTTTAATATTAATTCCATTATTAATTTTATTAACATTATTAATTTATAATAATCAATCATCAAAAGAAATTGATTGGCGTGCTGGACTTCATCTTTATCGTTCATCATTTTTAATAATATTTCATATGATTTTATTTGGAATTAATGTTTATGGTTGGTCAATCAATGGTGTTAATCATATATTAATATTTGAAATTGATCCACGAAATCATTTAACATATGAAGAAATTCTTGAAATTTCAACATTTTTAATGGTTTTATGGTTAATTAGTTTAAATTTATTTTTTTTATTATTTTATTATAATATTTATCCATTTATTCAACCATTATGTTTAACAATTCTATTAATATTAATCTTAATAAATCCATTAAAAATCTTTTATAAAAATTCTCGTTATTGGTTTTTAAAAAAATTATTTCGTGTATTTATAGCTCCATATTATCGTGTTGATTTTGTTGATTTTTGGCTTGCTGATCAATTTTGTTCACTTGAAATAATCTTTTTTGATTTGGAATATTTTATTTGTTTTTATGTAAATGAAAATAATTTGATTTCATCTCAATCAATTCATTCATCTGTTTGTAATGGTTCATCACAAATAATTCTTCAATCATTTTTTCAATTTTTTCCGTCATGGTTTCGTTTTGCTCAATGTATTCGTCGATATTATTCAACAAAAGAAAAATTTCCTCATTTAGTTAATGCTGGAAAATATTTGAGTACACTTTTTGTTATTATTACAAATGCACTTCGACGTTTTAATAATTTTGATTATCATCAAAATAAATATGAAAATCCATTTTTATATTTATGGATTTTAACATCATTAATAAGTTCAATTTATAAATTTATTTGGGATATTAAAATGGATTGGGGTTTCTTTCAAAATAATTCAAATGAAAATAAATATTTACGTCAACAAATTATTTATGAAAAAAAATTTTATTATTATGCAGCGATTTTAATCAATTTTTTCTTTCGTTTTATTTGGATAATAAATATATTTATTCATTTTAATTCATTATTTGGAGAATATTCAGATATTACTGGATTTTCATTTGCTTTTATTGAAATTGTTCGAAGATTTATTTGGAATTATTTTCGTTTAGAAAATGAACATTTAAATAATTGTGGACAATTTCGTGCTGTTAGAGATATTTCTATTAGACCAACACATAATTTGAATCAAAATAATTTACAACAAACTCAAAATGATAATACAATCATAACAATTAATAATGAAATACCAATGACAACAATGAATCATGAACAAAATTTAACAAATTATTCTTTAATACGAAGAAAAACGAATGCAGAAGAATTTATTGACGAAATTAATAATCTTTTAATAAATAATATTAATTAATTTTCTTTTCTTTTTTCAAATATTTTTGTCTTATAACACCACACATTTTTATATATAAAGCAACGTTTTTTTTTTATTTTTTTGAAAAATAAACCTATTCTTTATCGAATAATCTTGTTTTGTCAAAGACGAACGAAAAAGAATGTTGAAGTGTTACAGGTAGAAATTTGCACCCTCTCATCCCCCTCCTCCACAGACATCATGGCAAACATTCTTAATTTGCATTACCATATGTTACACCAACTATTTCGTTTTTCACATTTTAAACTCACAGGGATTAACCTTTTGTTCGACTATTCAATTTGTTTAACTTTCTTTTAAAAATTCATGATAATTTTTTTTTCTTAGATAATTGATTTTGAACTAAATGAGAAGAAATCTCTTTAAATTATTTTTTACGACGCATCTTTTAAATAAAACTTGCAAACTTTATCATTTTATTAAATTAATCAATAATATGTTGTTTAATTAAATAGAATTTCTTCTCTTTTCATAAAAATTGAATAATTAATGAATAAAGAAAATTTTCTTCATTTTTTTGTTATTTCATTTAAGATTAAATAAGTTGAATGATCTTCAAATTAAAATTCTAATAAATATTCGATTTGTTTAAATTATGCTTCTCTATTTAGTTAATTCTAATCGTTAAAAATAAACTCTATTTATTATAATGTCAAACAAAAAATATGAAAATAAACTCAAATCAATTTAAACGTATTTTGTATCTTGTCAATTTTTACACAAATTATGAAATCTTAATTTGAATTATAGTACATCTGAAAGTACACATCATAATAGAGATCGTATCAATTTTTTTTCGTAATATTTCCAAAAGTACATAACTTTTATAAAATTCCAGTATATACAAATATTCTTTGTTTTAATCAAATTCATTATAACGATTCCAAGCATCTTTTTTTCAACATGTCATATAAGCAGATGTTAACTTATTTAAAGATCAGAAAAAGGAGTTAGAATGTAGGTATTATACTTCTTTGTCACTTTTTCTGTTAAAATTTTGAAAAAATGTTATCAATTATTTTTTATTCTATTTAATCTTTGAGAAAAAGAAATAGTTGAGATATAAACAATGAAGAATCTAATAATTGTCAACTAATAAATAATATTCGATGAGACATTTTTATACATAGAGGCAGATAAACAAGAAAAAAAAATCGATGATTTAATATTCTTCATAGTTTTATTTAAAATTCTAAATATTTTCTACCACACATGTTTGCTTGTGAATTCAGTGATTAAGGATTCCATGTTACAACATTAGCTGCTGGAGGTGGAGTTGCCGGTGGTGGTGGACTTGGTGGTGGCGGTGATGGATTCCATGTTACAACATTAGCAGCTGGAGGAGGAGTTGG